ATTTTTATAGCATACCTTCTAAGACTGTAAAAGCAAGTCTCTTGTCATTAGTGTTTTAGGGGAAGGGACATTTCTTGTGTATTTATTTATTTTTATGAATAAAAATGGAATTGTTTAATTAAATTCTCCCCAGCCTCCCCTCCTCACCTCAAAAAAAAAAAAAAAAAAAAAAAAAGACTTGTTTAAATAGGAGAGAATGCTAGACTGTTTATTCAGATTGTTTTTTCTCTGTAAAATTATCATTTTTCTCATTTAGGTTCTGTACTCCTGCTAACCACTGTAATAGTGATTGTTGTATAAATTGGAAAAATCTTTCAGGAAAGTGAATTAGCAAAAATCACGAAAACTTTGCTTGTTTTTTTTTTTTTTTTTTTAAAAAAAAAGACAGGCCGGGCGCGGTGGCTCAAGCCTGTAATCCAGCACTTTGGGAGGCCAAGACAGGCGGATCACGAGGTCAGGAGATCGAGACCATCCTGGCTAACACGGTGAAACCCGTCTCTACTAAAAATACAAAAAACTAGCCGGGCGAGGTGGCGGCGCCTGTAGTCCAGTACTAGGGCGAGGAGGAGAATGGCGCAAACCGGAGGCGGAGCTTGCAGTGAGTGAGATCGGCCACTGCACTCCAGCCCGGGCTACAGAGCAAGACTCCGTCTCAAAAAAAAAAAAAAAAAGACAGTTTTGCTCTTGTTGCCCAGGCTGGAGTGCAGTGGTGTGATCTCAGCTCACTGAAACGTCCGCCTCCTGAGTTCAAGCGATTCTCCTGCCTCAGCCTTTCTAGTAGCTGGAATTAGACGCCCACCACCACGACAGCTAAGTTTTTGTATTTTTGGTAGAGACAGTGTTTTACCATGTTGGCCAGGCTGGTCTCGAACTCCTGGCCTCTGGTGATCCACCCTCTTCAGCCTCCCAAAGTGCTGGGATTATAGGCATGAGCCACCGCGCCTGGCCAAAACTTTGCTTTTGACTCAGTAATCCCATCCCTAAACAGTATCCATGAGTTACAGTTGACAAAATCCTTTCCTTGCATGAGAATTTGACCTTTGTTTAACTTTCTAGCTCTGTTTCCCTGGGAGCTAGATAAGGCAGAATGTCACATTTGTTGCTGGGCATGGTCCTTATGGTAAAATATCCTCTGATTGGTAAATTACATTTGGACAGGAAAGAGCCATGGACACCTGATGGGCCACCAGGCTTTTGTTTCATGGAACACAGTGACTCTGCTGGGGATGTCCTTATGGGGAGCCTAAGGAGCTGTCAAAAGAGATACTGGCACCCCCAAGATTGAGCGTTCTAAGTCAAGGTATTGAGTCAACACAGTCTCCCTGTGCCTGAGCCATCTTGTGTATGGACTCTTGCAAGAACTGCTGCTGCTGACCTGCCACTGCCCTGCCTGCCAGCTGTGTCTCTGTCCCCGTCCTTCTCAGTGGACTTGTGCCAAATATGGCCTGTGATAGTCTTATGAGTCGGAATCTAGGAAGATCTACCGACCCCTCAACCCCCACATAGGTGTTGCTTTATCTCAAGGAAGTAATCCCACAGATTACAGCATTTTTTCCAAATTTTTGTTATATTAATAAATAAAGAGCAGGAATGGCTATTTAAATGCTTAATTCACTCAGAGAGGTATTAGACATTAAGATGTAAGGTGGCCTGATGGTCACTGCTTTGTGACACATGTGGGTAGAGACTCAAAGGGAAGGAAACAAACGTGAATTCTGTCATATGGGAGTGTGGAGGTTGAAGTGTGTTTCCTGTTTCTTTTATTTTTAATATTATTAAACAACATTGGTACACCAGTGAAACATATTAACAAAGCAAGTTATGCAAGTCCCTTTTCCCATTCTCAAAATCAGTCACTTTCATAAATATTCTCCAAATATCTTTGCAGATCCTTTTATCATCTTTTTCTCTCTTTTCTTTTTGAAACAGAGTCTTGCTCTGTCGCCCAGGCTGGAGTGCAGTGGCGTGATCTCGGCTCACTGCAACCTCTGCCTCCTGGATTTAACCGATTCTCCTGCCTCAGCCTCCCGAGTAGCTGGGACTACAGGTGCGCACCACCATGCCTGGTTATTTTTTTGTGTGTATTTAGTGGAGACGGAGTTTCACTATATTGGCCAGGCTGGTCTTGAACTACTGACCTCAAGTGATCCACCTGCCTCAGCCTCCCAAAGTGCTGGCATTACAGGTGTGAACCACCATACCCAGCCTTTTTTTCCCTTCCCCACCAGTCACTGCAACCTCTGCCTTCTGGGTTCAAGCGATTTTCCTGCCTCAGTCTCCAGAGTAGCTGGAATTACAGATGCCCGCCCAGCTAATTTTTTTTTTTTTTTTTTTGAAACAGAGCCTCACACTGTCACCCAGGCTGGAGCGCAGTGGCATGATCTCGGCTCATTGCAACATCCGCCTCTTGGGTTCAAATGATTCTCCTGCCTCAGCCTCCTGAGTAGCTGGGATTATAGGCACGTGCCACCATGCCCAGCTAATTTTGTTTTGTTTTTTGTTCTTTTGAGACAGAGTCTCACTCTGTTGCCTAGGCAGGAGTGCAGTAGTGTGATCTCGTCTCACTGCAACCTCCGCCTCCCGGGTTCAAGCGATTCTCCTGCCTCAGCCTCCCGAGTAGCTGGGACTACAGGCGCATGCCACCACGCCCAGCTGATTTTTCATATTTTTAGTAGAAACGGGGTTTCACCATGTTAGCCAGACTGGTCTTGATCTCCTGATGTCGTGATCCGCCCACCTCGGCCTCCCAAAGTGCTGGGATTACAGGCGTGAGCCACTGCGCCTAGCCTTTTCTATTTTTAGTAGAGACGGGGTTTCACCATGTTGGCCAGGCTGGTCTTGAACTCTGACCTCATGATTTGCCCGCCTTGGCCTCCCCTTCTTTCGATTTGAAACTTACCACCACTCTCATCATCTGATCTCTATCTTGAAATGTGATACCAGACTTTAGAGTGTGACATTTAAACTTTGACCAGTCAAAGCAGTCCCTGGGGAGAAAGGTAGGGGAATAGTGGGGCTCCACATATAATGAATAGTTTGGGGTATACCTCTCGGTGCTGATTATCATGGAAGACAGAACTTCAAGTCATCTTATACTGCCCCTAACTAGCACTAGTAAGAACTTTCTAGATAAATGCTGTTGGGCTGAGATACAGTGTCTTCACAGTCCAGCCATGGGCATGAGGCTTTTGGCAGAGAAACAGCTTGACCCTTTGCGTAGGTCATGGGACCTGGGGTATTTGCCTAGCAAACCATCCTCTAGTCTGGCTCCTATTCCCATACTGTTCTTGTAGCCAGAAACAGACTCTGAAGCCATCGAGGATGGTCACTTTCAAGAGCGTAGGCCTTGTTACCAAATCCTGCCCTGTAGGACTGTAGTCAGGTCTGATACTTCCTTTTAGTTAGTGGTCTTGGGTGTAATACCACCTGTTAAGAAAAAGAACAATTGACAGCCAAGCATCTGGAAAGAGGGGGATAGCTGGATAACCTTGCCTAGGAGCTGTGACCTGTTGCTTCTCTCACTGTCTTCTGGACTCTGTGTTCTGTTACTCATATCTGTATTTGGCATACCTTAAGATGGTAGTAGCCAGTATTTACTAATCATCTACCGTTTTCTAGTCACTGTCCTGAGCATTTTGTTCATTCAGTCTTCACAGCATTCTTAGGACATAAGAGCTATCATTTCTATATTCCCTATTCCAGCAGAGAAATTAAATGACTGGCTCAAGGTCATATAGCTAAATTAATAAGCGGCAAAACCACAATAGAAATCCCTGTGGCCTGGGTTCGTATCTGCTGCTTAAGTCACTCCTACTGTAGGCACTGCTGTCAGCCTTGCCTTCAAAAGTTAGGTGGTTAAAGAGGAAACTAACAAGTAGTTCTTCTGAGTCCCATTCATTTTGTGGAAGTCACTGAGTCAGACCCTGGCAAATGAGAGGCAGTTACGGCAGGAGCCCTGTCTTGATGAGTAGATAGACCATGCTGTGGCAAGTCTTGGAAGACAGTTGAGCAGAGATCAGGCATTTTTCACATCTTCTGGTCATGAGTAGACAAGGCTGCCTGAAAGATTTTCTGGAAAAGCGTAGTCCCTAGAGCTGCAGAGTCAAGTATTATTCAGACAGTACCCAACATTTAATAAATTTCAGCCGGGCGCAGTGGCTCAAGCCTATAGTCCCAGCACTTTGGGAGGCCGAGACGGGCGGATCACGAGGTCAGGAGATCGAGACCCTCCTGGCTAACACGGTGAAACCCCGTCACTACTAAAAAATAGAAAAACCTAGCTGGGCGAGGTGGCGGGCGCCTGTAGTCCCAGCTACTCAGGAGGCTGAGGCAGGAGAATGGCGTGAACCCGGGAGACGGAGCTTGCAGTGAGCCGAGATCTGGCCACTGCACTCCAGTCTGGGTGACAGAGCAAGACTCTGTCTCCAAAAAAAAAAAAAAAATTTCTACTTGGTGTTGAGCATACAATGAGGAATAAAACTGTCTTCATGGAGGTTATTAGAAAAGGGAGAGAACAGATTAACATAGTACATAAAAATGTCAATTAGTGGTAAGTGCTCTGAAGAAAAAGCAAGCAGAGTAATGGGATAGAGAGCAAATGAGGGGTTATGCTGCTTTAGATAAAGCTGTCACTTCTTTGAGAAAGTGTAACTGAAGCAGTGACCTGAATGAAGCAAGGACCAAGCTGTTGAGTAAGTTGGAGCATTGGTTCAAATTGCCAATCCATTCAATTGATGCGCCACCCAAGCAAGAGAAGACATTCTCTCCAACAGCTTGCAGGGGCCGGATCGCCCTCCTGTGCTGTTCTGCCTAGCTCTTGGGTCCAGAGTTCTGGTGAGTGATACTGTTGTTTGTCAGGACCCCCTGGGTGGAAAGAAGATAACTAGCAGGAAGGCTCAGGGCCCTGCACTCTCGGGGCTGCTAAGACGTTTATGCAAGGGAGGTGTTTTGCCTTGGTGTTTCCATCACACTCACAGTTATTTCTCCTTTTCCCCCTTTAGTTTGAAGGATGACCTCTAGGAAGAAAGTGTTGCTGAAGGTTATCATCCTGGGAGATTCTGGGTAAGTTTCTCATGAATTTGAGCTAACAGATTGGCTCAGAGCTAAGCTTCTCTGCTGCGGAGCCCATACTGTCTGTGCTGCCACTTCCTGCTTTCGTAGTGGAGGCTTAGGGCCTTACATATTTCCCTGCGTGGCAGAAATTTAGATGATCCTTGTTATATAACCTTTTGTTCTCTGGTTTTTAGCATGATTTTTATGGGGAACGGATGACTATTTGAACTCAACTAAGGATAGGCATTTTCATGGAATCCCTTTTCTCCAAGCCGGCCAGGCTGGGGAGTCTTCCTTACATAAATGTATTGCCATTGGCATCTGGCCTAGCAGATGTGTGTTCTTAGCGCACCATACAGTATCTTCCTGCTGTTACATAGATGTATTGCCATTGGCATCTGGCCTAGCAGATGTGTGTTCTTAGTGTACCATACAGTATCCTGCTGCTGTGCCTGCTTCAGGTCTGTCTGCAAAAGAGCCTGGGATGGCACAACTGGGTTTTGATTCTAGATGTGCCACTAACCATGTAGCTCACTCTAATGGCTCTTAAGATTCTGTGGTAGGTTTGGTGAGGTGGCTTATGCCCATAATTCCAGTGCTTTGGAGGCTGAGGGGAGGATTGCTTGAGCCCAGGAGTTTGAGACCTGTCTCTACAAAAAAAAATATAGCCAGGTGCCATACCTGTAGTCCTAGCTTCTGGGGAGGCCGAGGCGAGAGGATGGCTTGAGCCCAGGAGTTTGAGGCTGTAGCAAGGTATGATCATGCCGTTGCACTGCAGCCTGAGTGACAGAGCAAGACCCCAACTCTTAAAATAAAAAGATTCTGTGGTAGGCTTTTCAGACTTGGCATCTGAAGGGACCCATGAAAGCTTTGACTCATTGGAAGCTTATATATTTTTAAAAATAACAACAATAGCAAATGCAGGCATGCTTCTTTAGTCCAAAGTCCCCTGTCCTTCCTTTGAAAAGCCAGAGGTTTTTCTATCTTGACTGGCTTATCTGAATCACCTGAAGAACCTTTTTTTGTATGCGTGTGAGAGACAGGGTCTCGCCCTGTTGCCCAGACTAGAGTGAATGGTGCAATCACAGCTCACTGCAGCCTCAACCTCCTGGGCTCAAGTGATCCTCCCACCTCAGCCTCCAGAGTAGCTGGGACCACAAGTATGTTCTACCACTCCTGGTTAAATTTTTGTATTTTTTGTAGAGACAGAGTTTCGCCATGTTGCCCAGGCTGGTCTCAAACTCCTGCGCTCAAGCAATCCACTCGTCTCGACCTCCCAAAGTGCTGGGATTACAGGCTTGAGCCACAATGCCCAGCCTTTGAAGAACCTTTTATTCGCTAGCATTTGTCCAGCCCCAGACCAGTGGGCTAGGGCCTAAATTTGTGCTGTCTTTCCTACCCCGCAACTCCATCCCTGTCGGGATGGAAAGATAGTGCTTTTAGGCCTGCCTTACCCAAATGTGTGCAAAAAGTCTCACCGAGCCCTCATTTGATTCCAGGTTTTGCCACCTCTCCCCTTGGAGATTCTGGCTCAGGTGGTCTGGATTGGAAAACACTGCCTTAGGCTGTCTGGGTACCTCTAGGTTCTTTAACACAAATATGAACATGTTCCTTTGTGGCAAAGGAAGGTGATATCACTGGGTATTTGGAAGGTTTTTGCATTATCTTTAGGTTGCCTTAACCTCATCACACAAAAATTCACACATTGTCTCTTGCTGAGTTTTCTTACTGGAAAACATATTTGGAGGAGTATTCTTTGAAGTATATTTGGTTTGGTGATATATTGGTGCTTTTTCTGCTTCAGATTTTAAACTTTAAAGCAGCAAATTGTCTGAGTGGTATATGTCTGCTCAAAGCCAAGGTCTTCCTCCTGGTGTTACTTCAAGCTAAAGAGCAGCCACTAAATGGAGAAACATCTAAGATAGCAGGGATACTGTTGGAATAGCAGAGCACTCTTATTAGTGAAGCTTCTTTAGAAGGAGTATATTTGCTGGCATCCTTCTAGAATGGGAAAAATAATACTAGGCTTTACCATTTGACCTGATTGTACCAAAACATGTAAGCAGCTTTTCCACATCTGCCCCACATCTGTACCTTGTATTTTTACCCAGAGAGAAAGCACAAAACTTCAAAAGTGTAATGCTGGGAAGGCTACTGGCATTGCCCTTTGCTGTGAGAGCAGTTTCTTGTCCTTCAGGTCAGGCAGATTCTTTCAAATGCTTCAAGTAATTCATGTCAGTTTCAGGACCTTCCTATTTGACTTGTGCTTGTGGTTTTTCTCCAATTTCAGAGTCGGGAAGACATCACTCATGAACCAGTATGTGAATAAGAAATTCAGCAATCAGTACAAAGCCACAATAGGAGCTGACTTTCTGACCAAGGAGGTGATGGTGGATGACAGACTAGTCACAATGCAGGTAAGCATATGTCTTGGCTGTGCTAACCAGGCCTTGATAGTTCCTTTAGTCTTAATCTTTCCTCATGCATAGACATTTTTCTTCCCTGTTCTTCAAATCTTATTATCCTGTTTGTAGATAATTGGCTGATACTTAGTTAAATTTGAATTTCAGATCAATAGTGAATACTTTTTTGGTATACTTCTTGTATATCTCAGATACAAATTGCTAAGACACACTAAAATTTCTTCTTTTTAAAAAAAAAAAACTCAGATTTATCCTTTCTTGTTTTTTGTTGTTTTTGGTCTTGTTTGCTAAATTTGGCAACCTGCAGGTCTCTATCTTGTGTTTCTCTTGACGTTCTTGCCCAGTGCTTTAGGTAAACATCTTTGTCTCACCTCAGTAGTGAGACATGAAGTTTCTTTATTTTTTTGACTTTCTATTTCATATGTAACTTCAAGAGTTGTGTGTCTATTGAGCCAATCTGTTTTTTTTTTATGTATCAGCTTATTAATCTTTCAAGGGTTTCCCTTTCAACAGTTAGGATAAGATGTAGATTCTTTCATGTGACTTGTTGAAAAGCCTTCACATTCTGGCTATAAACTGTTACTCCCTTTTTTTTTCCCCTTTGAGTCATTTTGTTTGTATACATGTATTATATCCCTAGAAAAGAACCCCTGAAGGGTGGATACCTTGAGCCCAGGAGTTCGAGCCTGCAGTAAACTGTGACTGCTCCATTATACTCCAGCCTGGGTGATGGAGTGAGACCCTGTCACTAAATTAAAAAAATAAAAGAATCCCATGATTTTCCCTCCTGTATTTTCATCTCTTTATTCATGGTCCGTGATGCCAGCTGAGGTTGTCAGTACAACCTGACTTTGAAACCAAACTATTGGGATAGGAGTAGATTATTCTGTCACTTTTCTAGATCTTTGAGTTGCACATCAAATCTGGGGCCATTCATTCCAGTTTTAACCTGCCTGTGAGGTTCACAGTAATTTTCCCAGCTCTGTGATCACCGATGATTTCAATTTTTCAATGTGATCATGTTTCATTTCACACTTAGAACCAGACGATGACTTGGGAGCACAGCCTAATAAGTACCTGGTGTTTGCCTTTGAGAGCATCAACCAAGACATTCATGCACACCATTATGGAGGCAAGGAAAGATGGTAGAAATAGCTGCTACTCACTTTTTTTTGTCTCCTTCCAGTCCTTCTGAATCATGTGCTGCTCTTACAGACTTGTGTTGGTGGATATGTCTCTGCTTCCAGCAGGGCCTGTATACCCACCGGAAGTCTCCAACTTTTCGCTCAGATCTTTTGAAACTTCTATCTCTGTGGCAGATGTTCTTTCCTACATGCTTCTAGAGGCAAATTCCAATCCCATTGTAGTCCTAGCAAGTACCTGGCAGATAGTGGGGGCTCGCTGAAATGTGTGAATGATGTAGGTTAAAGGTAGAAGTTTGTACATGTGTTGACCTCGAGCTGTGGCATGCTCCTAGAGGATCAGGACTCTTAATTGACTGACACTTCTAGGACAGAGCTAGTATGAATCTCTCATCCTCACCTTACCTATACACATACACCTAGAGATCTTCAAAATGTAACTGCAGTTTAAGCAAGTCAAGCTTGAGAGTAGAACTGGAAAACCTTGGCCCAAGGAATTGGCAAAACTTGTGTCTGCAGTTGTTGGAGAATCTCAGTCCCACTATCCACGTGTACAGAAATCTTTGTCTCAAAGAATTTAACATAAATCTCTGTCAATCCTGGCAAAAACAAGGGTAAGACTACTCTGTAGGGACATTTACTACTGTAGGAGAGAAGATGAATTCATAACCACATGAGGAAATAATGTACCACAAGAGATGTTCACAATGACTAGAGATGTTCTAAAAAGAAATAGAAACCATAATGGAAAGGGATACTATAAAAAAATGAGGATATGGAAAACTTAGAACTTCAAGAAGTGAAAAAAATAGTATTGAAATAAGCTAAATGAACAGTTAAACTGTAGATTAAATACAGCTGAAAAAAGCAGTAAGCCATAAGAGCTGAGCATATTTTCTAAAAGAAGACTTAAAATTTTGAAGACCAAAAAGCAAAATCTTAAGAGCAACTATAGAAAAAAACACACGACTTACAAAGGAACAACAGACTGACGAATTCTCAACAGAAGGCAGAAGGGAGTAGAATAACTTCAGGGAGCTGGGGTAAAGGCCCATCTGAAGATTCTCCATGTGTCACAGCAAGACTCAGACTGCCTTTTGCTGAGGAAAAATAGAACTTCTCCAGCTGAGCTGTGGTTTTGATAGCCATGTGGGCCAGCGAATTCAGAAATCAGAGTTCGGCCCCTGCTGGTTGGGGGGTTGTCATAACAGTCCTGTCTGTGTTACTAAGCTGGGACCTTGGGGTGCTGCACCCCTGAAGTCAACCCCATCAGGACATCCACAGGGCACTGAGTGAGGTGAGGAAAGAGTGGAAAAAGATAACAAGTTCCCAAGAGATTGAAGTAAAGGATGGCCTTTGTACTCTTGTAGCCAGCTTCAGATACTAGAAGTAAATGAAAATCATTGTCTCTGGACAAAGGCGTCATTATCCTGATCTTGAGGAATCCTCGTGTGTTTTTCGAGGGCTTTTAGCAGCTTGCAGTAAAATATAATCAAAGTAAGAAAACAAGGCACCACAAGAAAGAACCAGTGAAAAACTTGCCTGGTAATTCCAGAGTGTTTTTTTATATTTAAAGAAATACAGAGCATACAGAGTTTGTTATATGAGATGAATAAATCCTAGAGATCTGTACAGCATGGTGCCTGTAGTTAACAATACTATATTGTACACTTAAAATTTTGCATGCTGAATGCAGTGGCTCTTGCCTGTAATCCTAGTGCTTTGGGAGGCCAAGAGAGGAGTTCGAGACTAGCCTGGGCAAAATAGCAACATTTCATCTCTACAAAAAAATTTTTAAAAAGAATTTACTTATTTTAAGTGTTCTTATCACAAAAACTAATAAAAGAGGATGGGGGGAACCTTTTGATGAGTAGGTTTGTGGCCTACATTGTAATGATGGTTTTCTCCCCAAACTCATTGAGTTCTATGCATTAGATTATTAGATATGTGCAGCCTTTGTATGTCAGCCATACCTCACTAAAGGGGCTTTGGTTAAATATAAGATAATCTTTTAATCTGCAGAGGAGAAACGAAACGGTTAACATTGATGTGGGGAGAAAATGAAGCACAATCAATGAAATTTGGAAATTCAGAGAATGCTGCTAAAGCACAGCAGATTGGCCACACCAGAAAAGTGTTGGAAGAATGGAAGAAAAATGGCAGGAAATATGAAAGAGATAAGTGAAAGTGAGAAGGTTGGACCTACTTTTAATCAGTCTCAGAAGGTGTAAAGAGAGAATAATAGATCAAAGATGATATTTGCTGAGGATTTTCCAGAGCTGATGTGGCACCAGTCCACTGACTCAGGAAGCCCAAATTCCAGGAAGGATAAATAAAAAGAATTCTGTGTAAGTCATAGTGAAATTTAAAAAAAAAAAAAAAAGACTTAAAAATAGACTGAGGAAAACTTGACAAGCACAGCACTGAGGCTGCCAGGTGAGTCCTGGCAGTAACAGCAGAGCCCAGCAGGCAGTGGGGTATGTTGGGAAAGAGACGGGCAGCACAGTGTTCTGTCTCTGCTGAAATAACCCTCCTGAATGAAAGAGTACGTCTTTAAGGGCTAGTGGCAGAAGTTCTAAAGGATAACTCCAGGCAGAAAATGATTTCACGTAGATAGGTCTGAAGGAAGAACACTTCAGTAGTATACTTGTATCTATTTTTGGAATCATGAGTATGTAACTTCCAAAGTAATATGAGGAAACAAAGATCAGAACTATATAATCTAATGTGTAGGGAAATATTAGTGACTGCTGTGTTTCTTGTTTTTTAAAGTTCTCTATACTGTTCAGAAAGAATCTGGAAATTGAGTAGTATCTTAGATGGAATCAAATAGGCATGAAAAATTTCCACGGAACATATTGTGAGATCATAGTAATTTAAACAGTGATATTAGTACAGTGATACACAGAGCACAGGAACAGAGGGCACAGGGTGCACCTCTCTGGTAATACATGGGGAGAAGGGTGTTGTAGGGTGTGTATTTATTTATTTATTTATTTATTTATTTATTTATTTATTTTTGAGGCGGAGTCTCACTCTGTTGCCCAGGCTGGAGTGCAGTGGCGCAATCTTGGCTCACTGCAACCTCTGCCTTTTGGGTTCAAGTGATTCTCCTGCCTCAGCCTCCCGAGTAGCTAGGACTACCGCTGCATGCCACCACATCCAGCTAATTTTTTGTATTTTTAGTAGAGATGGGGTTTCACCGTGTTAGCCAGGGTGGTCTTGATCTCCTGACCTCGTAATCCAACCACCTCAGCCTCTCAAAGTGCTGGGATTACAGGCATGAGCCACCACGCCCAGCCTACTTTTTATTTTTTTTGAGACAGGAGTCTTGCTGTCGCCCAGGCTGGAGTGCAGTGGCCTGATCTTGGTTCACTGCAACCTCCGCCTCCCCAATTGAGGTGATTCTCCTGCCTCAGCCTTCTTGAGTAGCTGGGATTACAGGCGCCTGCCACCACGCCCGGACAATTTTTTGTATTTTTTTTTTAGTAGAGATGGGGTTTCATCATGTTGGCCAGGCTGGTCTCGAACTCCCGACCTCAGGTGATCCACCCATCTCGACCTCCCAAAGGGTTGGGATTACAGGCGTGAGCCACTGCGCCTAGCCAGTAGGGTAAATAAGTGGGACCAGTACAGAGCTTTACATTCTAGCTTGGGGGAACCAGAGGATTCAAGACCTGAAGGTGGAAAAAATACAAAGTGAAAACTTTAAAAATGAAAATAGTGAATACTTTACTCCTCTGGCATTTGAAAGTACGGAAAGTACAAATCGCTGGGTGCGATGGCTCAAGCCTGTAATCCCAGCACTTTGGGAGGCCGAGACGGGCAGATCACGAGGTCAGGAGATCGAGACCATCCTGGCTAACATGGTGAAACCCCGTCTCTACTAAAAAATACAAAAAACTAGCCGGGCGAGGTGGCGGGCGCCTGTAGTCCCAGCTACTCGGGAGGCTGAGGCAGGAGAATGGCGTAAACCCGGGAGGCGGAACTTGCAGTGAGCCGAGATCCTGCCACTGCACTCCAGCCTGGGTGACAGAGCGAGACTCCGTCTCAAAAAAAAAAAAAAAAAGAGGCCGGGCGCGGTGGCTCAAGCCTGTAATCCCAGCACTTTGGGAGGCCGAGACGGGCGGATCACGAGGTCAGGAGATCAAGACCATCCTGGCTAACACGGTGAAACCCCGTCTCTACTAAAAAATACAAAAAACTAGCCGGGCGAGGTAGCGGGCGCCTGTAGTCCCAGCTACTCGGGAGGCTGAGGCAGGAGAATGGCGTAAACCCGGGAGGCGGAGCTTGCAGTGAGCCGAGATCGCGCCACTGCACTCCAGCCTGGGCGACAGAGTAAGACTCCGTCTCAAAAAAAAAAAAAGAAAAGAAAAAAAGTACAAATCATAAAATGTTGAAGATTGATAATAGATTACATTAAACATCTGTATAACAAGATTCCCAGACTAACAAAAACAAACCATACAAGCAGGTGAAAAAGATGTTAATGCCTAATAATATCCAAGCAGTAGGCAACCTGGTGGATGCTAGAATATAGGGAGTTGAACAGCCTCAGGTTGATGGTAGGAGTGTAGTAATGAGTACAGCCTTTTCAGTAGAAACTGCCACTCTGTTCCCCAGTGTTGAACATACACTTATGCAGCAACAGTCTGAGTGTATGGCCTAGAGAAACTTACGTCTGGGCATGACGTCTGAGGTGTAACGAGAGTTACCATTGCAGCATTGCATGGATAGTAGTGAAAAACTGCAAGTAACTCAAATGATCTAGGAAACTAAGTGTAGTCCGTTAAGGCAATGAAATATTATATAACTGTTAACTTTTGGGAGTGAAAAAAGACAAGTTGCAAAAAGCTGTACAGAATGATACTATTTATGTAAGGTATCTCTTCAGGAGCATTTGCTTGTGGTAAAGTAGGAAGAAAATGCAATGGGGGAAGGGTTAATTCTTGGAAAAAATGGATTAAAATAACAGTGTTAATTTTGGTAACATCAGAGTATTGGGTAGATAGTTATAAGGGTATAATTTTAAATGGAGAAAACAAACCATTTTGAGACAAGCAGGTTGGCTGGTTTCCTGTTTTGATGTAGTCTAGAGAAAAAGAACAAAAGCCCCTTACTCAAGCTGTAGCTTACCTAACTTCCAGACAATCAGCAGCAAAAAAATCCCAAGAAACTGTTATCATAAGTTCCTGCTTCATGGGGCTAGGGACCTCCCTGGGGCCCCCAGCATGTGCAGTTAGACTTCAACTTATAGTTACCTTTTCCTCATTTTAATGCTAAAAATCACACCCAGGGTGGAGATTTAACCTGCTAGTGCTACACGCAATTTCTGAAGAAGCATGTTTAGCCACTGTGCATGCGGTAGAGAAACCCCTCCTATATACATACCCTGACATCACCCCTCCCCATAGGAAGGCCCTTTAAAGTTAACTCCCACACTGCTTTCAGAGAACAGCTGCCCCTTTCCTTTTGCAGTGCTAGCTCACTATGCACAAGCTAAATAAACTTTCACTTTCTCTTTGCTATTGTGTCTGATGATCTCTCTTGATTTCTGTCATGGAAGATTCCAAGAACCTAGGTCACTGTTAACAATTTCAATTAAAATATTAAAAAATTTAAAGATCACAGCCAGCCATAGGACTGTACTTGTTGATGTTTTGATAAATATGGCCTTTACTTTTGTAAATTCAAAATTAAATTAATTTTGGTAACTTTCTAGGAACCCATCAACTTGTTGACTTTTCTTTTTGAAAGTATTACTTTGCCTTCTCTGTGTATATGAGTTCCAGATGATGAATTGGTTCCACCTAACAATAACAGAGTTCTTATGTAATTCTGCTTGTAGGAGTCTTCCTGAAAAAAAGCCGTTTGAAATACAGAAAAAGCTCTCTATGCTAATGTTCATTGCTGAGTTGTTTATAATTACAGGAGATTGGCAACAATATTTTCTTAAAAACAGGAATGGATGGTTCACTAAATCTGTTGGGCAGCTGTAAAGTCCAGTGAACCTGCTCTCCCACGTCACCCCATCTGCTGTTGCCAGAGTTGCCAGAGTGCCCTAGTGCGTGACGGGGTAAAGGGGAGGAACGTGGGAGAATGTGGAGAGTGTCACATGTGCAGTCTCCAGTCAGTTATTTGTGTGGAGAAAACCTCTCCACACAAATAACTAGAACAAGACATGAACTCCTTCCTGTGTGGGAGGATGCCAAGTGTTCGTATATTTGTTTGTTTGTTTGTTTGTTTGTTTGAGAATGGGGTCATTTCTCCACTGACAGAGATGCATACATATTCAGTGTAGAACATTGGAGAACCAGGAGAGCACATAAATGAGTACCACCAGCAGCCCTGATCCTGTTTAGTCTACATGTGTGGACTTCGTTTATTGTATCTGGGGAAGGGAACATTTAGTGCCCTAACCTGCTGAGAGGCAGTGGAATCATGAGAGATAAATTTGTCTTTTTTGCCCTTCATTCTTATATCTGAGTTGTTATCATGTTTGTCTGGCTCTGTTTGAGTGCCTGTTACGGATCTAGGGCAGTAAATATACCCAGCCTTGCTCTTAAACCTAGCATGGCAGTGAATGATGTGACCAGCTTAGAGCTGGTCAGTAGTACCTGGGAGTTAATCTGGTGTGTGTTCTCATTGTCTTTCTCTTGATCTCTTTCTGTCAAGAGTTTTTCATTTGTTTTTTAATTGAGGTATAATACAAATGAAATATAACATGCTAATCTTTTTTGTTGTTTAGGCTAACTTTTCTCTCTTTTTTTTGAGACAGAGTTTCGCTCTTGTCGCTCAGGCTAGAGGGTAGTGGCACGATCTCGGCTCACCACAACCTTCGCCTCCTGGGTTCGAGAGATTCTCCTGCCTCAGCCTCCCAAGTAGCTGGGATTACAGGCATGCACCACCACGCCTGACTAATTTTGTATTTTTAGTTGAGACAGGGTTTCTCCATGTTGGTCAGGCTGGTCTCAAACTCCTGACCTCAGGTTAGCCACTGTGCCTGGCTAGGCAAACTTTTCATACAGTAAAATGCATAAATGGAACTGTATCATTTGTGAGTCATCACCTCACTTCCCTGTATTTCCATTGCTCTCAGAAAGTTCCCAGAGTACCTAAGTTTTATTTACAGTTCAAATTTTACACACTTACCTAAATGTGACCACTACTTGGATCAAGATATAAGAAATTTCTAGCGCCCTGGAGATTGGACTCGTGTCACCTGCTTATAGACAGACACATACTTACATACAATATTTGTGAGGATTGTTTCGGATACTCTGGTGCTGAAATTTGCTTCCTGAAGTCTGGTGTCATTTGTCTTTGTGGGTGACCTCACAATCTAGCCCATTTCTTCTGGCATCCCCTGCATACATGCTCCTTGTGCTCTGCCTAGCACTCTCCCGAGGAATAAATGTTTTGTCTCTCACAGATATGGGACACAGCAGGACAGGAACGGTTCCAGTCTCTTGGTGTGGCCTTCTACAGAGGTGCAGACTGCTGTGTTCTGGTATTTGATGTGACTGCCCCCAACACATTCAAAACCCTAGATAGCTGGAGAGATGAGTTTCTCATCCAGGCCAGTCCCCGAGATCCTGAAAACTTCCCCTTTGTTGTGTTGGGAAACAAGATTGACCTCGAAAACAGACAAGTAAGTACCAACGATGATAGATATTGTCACAGACACTTGCTCCCAAGGGGCCTTGTGAATTTGGAGGGTTCTCTGCTAAGCTCACATGGCTCTAGGAGGTGCTGGTGGGAGTCTTCATCACCCTATGCCAGCCCTTCAGGCCAACTGCCTTTAAGGACTGGGACCCAGGTGACCTGGGTTAAGTCCCCATCCTGCTCCCAGCTGGCTGTGACTTTACGCCATTGTCTTGGCTATCTCAACTTCAGTTCCCTTTCTGCACTTTGAAGGAGGGAATTCAGTTTTGTCATTCTCAGTAGTGCCCTCCCAGTACCTCCAGGCCGTGCTTGGATCTCCATGTGTGCAGAATATTGCTTTGGGCTTTGAGTGAAATTGCTGTACTATAGTTATAGTTTCAAATATCATTTCTGTTGGAAACATAGACTCTTTGATTAATTACGACTACGTTTATTTCTGACCATGGATCTTTTTTCCTCCCCTTCCTAAGTGACTTAGTCCTTATCTCTTGGCTGAAAATGGGCTAGGGGTTGGGGAAGGAATGAGAATGTGAGAGTGGCATGGGTGACATCACACTAGCAGTAATGGTAAAGGGACTCTAAACCTTAAGAACAAGCTGCTGGGCATTTCCTGTCCTGGGATCTCTGAGGTCCCAGTAAACACTCTTCATTTCTTCCCAGACTGGCTTCTTACTCCATTCACAAATGGCTTTTAAGTATAACTGAGGGTCAGAAGGTATGAGCTGTAGACTGAGACAGGCTTTGAGCTCTCTAGCTGAATCCTAGCTATCCTGAGCATAGCCAGCAGGGCGAGTTTGGACGGGTCTACTGGTCTCTTCCAACACCCTCTTTCCCCACATCTGTGTCCTCACCTGTACCACCTGTAGACGAGGGACCATGACACTTCCTGGGGAGGATGGAGTCAGTGCTAGCTGCTTCTATCATGAGCCTGTGTGCACCCTACTTCTCCTTTCAGGTGGCCACAAAGCGGGCACAGGCCTGGTGCTACAGCAAAAACAACATTCCCTACTTTGAGACCAGTGCCAAGGAGGCCATCAACGTGGAGCAGGCGTTCCAGACGATTGCACGGAATGCACTTAAGCAGGTGGGTCTCCCACAGCTGACCTGCCCACTCTTGTGATGCCTGACCACTGACCCAGTCCCTGCCTGACCTCCTGCCCTTAATCTTCTTCCCTAACCCACTCTTTTCTATGTAGTCAGAATACCCTAAGTGTTCATCTGGGAAGGTTAGGACATGCTCTGCTTAAGCTTCCAGAAACCCCACTTTGGGGAAATAACCTAAAAGATGTAGAGGCTGGGAAGACTGAGACTGCCCTTCTTTTACTAGGCTTGTTCTTATTTTCTTGGCTGCGATTAGGAGATCAGGTCACTGGGAGACCCCTGATCAGATTGCTGCTCTATTTAAGAAGGAACTTAACTTGAATACAAATCCCAGCTCTGCTGCCTACCAATCATTATATCTAGTTTGGGCTTAAAAATATATATATTATGGCCAGGCATGGTGGCTCACGTCTATAATCCTAGCAGTTTGGGAGGCCAAGGCGGGCCGATCACTTGAGGTCAGGAGTTTGAGACCAGCCTGGCCAACATGGTGAAACCCCATCTCCACTAAAAAATAAAAAGAAAATTAGCCAGGCCTGGTGGGTTGCCAGTAATCCCAGCTACTCAGGAGGCTGAGGCAGGAGAATTGCTTGAACCCAGGCGGCAGAGGTTGCAGTGAGCCAAGATTGCACCACTGTACTCCAGCCTGGGTGACAGAGTGAGACTCTTTCTCAAAAAAAAAAATTAAAAATAAAATTATATCCGAACTTCTACCCCCTCACCTGAAAAATGGGAATACCTGCTTTTGCAGGGTGATTATGAAGATTAAATGAGACCAACTTTTTCAGCTCTCACATACTGACAGGTAACTTTTTTCCTTAGGAACAGTTAAGTAAACAACACAAGGAAGAAAATGTAGGAAAACTATTCAAGGAATACAATACCTAGAATTTCTTACTTACTGTTTCTGTGATTAGATACAACCACTCATGCGAGTTGAAAGTCTTTTTTTTTGTTTTGTTTTGTTTTGTTTTGTTTTTTTTGAGACGGAGTCTTGCTCTGTCACCCAGGCTGGAGTGCAGTGGCCGGATCTCAGCTCACTGCAAGCTCCTCCTCTCGGGTTCACGCCATTCTCCTGCCTCAGCCTCCCGATAGCTGGACTACAGCACCCGCCACTTCGCCCGGCTAGTTTTTTGTATTTTTAGTAGAGACGGGTTTCACCGTATTAGCCAGATGTCTCGATCTCCTGACCTCATGATCCGCCCGTCTCGGCCTCCCAAAGTGCTGGGATTACAGGCTTGAGCCACCGTGCCCGGCCGAAAGTCTGTTTTGATGTACAACTCTGTTAGGGGCAGTGGTGATTAAGGCAGATCACGAGGCCTCATCAGACAGGGTCTGGGGGTGGTCAGAGGTGTGACAGGTTTGGGGGGATGCATAGAGCACTTGAAGCACATAGTGGCTGTGAAGGGCAAGGCAGATTCTGCTGACTCCAGGAAGCCGGCAGAATGAAGGTAATGGCTTTCAGCAGGACAGAGAGTTGTTTGGAATGGTTGCTCCAAGGACCAGGGAAATTCTGGCATGAGTGGGGTCTGCACTAAGTGTTCCAGAATGAAAGGGACAGACCTACTCAGTGAGGAAATTGTTCCACCCAGAATGCCAGGAGAGCCCTCAAGTGGTAAGGAAAAGACCAAGATGCAGACTTGGCCACCCTCACCCACAAATAATAAACGGTTGTGTTTTTCTTAATGTTCATATAAGGGAATGGAAATCCAAATCGTGTAGGATAGTGTTTCCCACCTGTTTCCCTGTTGCCTGGCATCACCGTCTGAGTTTTTCTCTTCCATCACTACTGTCCCTGTTGTCTTTATGCTTTTATTTTTAGAGCTAGCCCCTAAGGAGTTAGATTGTTACATTGGAGGGTCTGTTTTATTATAAGTTAGGGTGCCAGGTTGCTTTCCCCAAGGGGAATAACATTTCAGCAGCGTGGGCTTGCTTTGTTCTACCTTCTTGCCAGCAAGCAATAGGTGTCACTTGTCACTCTGCTGACATTGCCAATCTTTGGGTGTATAAATTGCCACCATCGTGGCTACTGTTCCCTCTGAGTCCCTCTTCCTGGGGCTTAGCCATTTGGATTTTCTCTGCTGCACACAGCTAGCACATAGCACATGGTTGGGCCTCTCTCAGTTCTCATGAGCTGCTAGTCAATTGAAGTTAATTCTACTTGCATCTCAAGTGACTTTTTCAACTCTGTGGTATTTTTAAGTCCTTTGAACATAGGAAAAAAGTAATTTTTTATTTGGGTATGTCATTTTAAGTTTCTGTGTTTCCTGTGTCTACATCAGATTTTTCTCTAATTCAGCTGGAATTTGTTTTGGCTTATGGCAGGAAAGAGAGACTTGCCTTTTCTCTCAGAGAGCTCAGCCAGTTGTTTGAAATCATTCGGCTATGTTACATAAGCCGTTTCCCTCCCTGAATAGACCGTGGCCTGTGCTAAATGCTCATATGTGCTGGGATCTGTTTCTGGTCTCTCCAGTCTGTACTGGTGATGTCTATGCCATGTTCCCTTATCTGGACTGTCTTGATTTCACTGCCTGATAAGGCAAGTTTCCTCTTGCCACATTCTTTTTTTTTTTTTTTTTTTTTTGAGGTAGAGTCTTGCTCTGTTGCCCAGGCTGGAATGCAATGGCGTGATCTCAGCTCACTGCAACCTCCGCCTCCCGGGTTCAAGTGAATCTCCTGCCTCAGCCTCCCAAGTAGCTGGGATTACAGACATCTGCCACAACGCTTGGCTAATTTTGGTATTTTTTAGTAGAGATAGGGTTTCACCATATTGGCCAGGCTGGTCTCAAACTCATGTTGTGATCCGCCCACCTCAGCCTCTCAAAGTGCTGGGATTACAGGCATGAGCCACCCTGCCCTGCCTGCCACATTATTTTTTTAATAATTTTGTTTCAGTTCCATGATTTTCCTCTCTTACCTTCCACACCCCAAATAAAACTCTGTTGAGATTTTGATTGGAATTTTTTTCTTCAAGCCCACTGTTTTTTCCCCATTGATTGCAGTTTTGTTGCAACTGTTGCATTAGTCTGCTCAGGCTGCGTTAACAAAACCCCACAACATGGGTGGGTCCAACAACAGACATTTTGTTTTCTCACAGTTCTGAAGGCTGGAAGTCCATGAGCAAGATGCTGGCACATTTTGTTTCTGGTGAGGGCGCTCTTCTGGGCTCACAGACTGCTGTCTTCTCACTGTGTCCTCCCATGCCCTTTCTGCTGTGTGCACAGAGAGAGGACATATGAGTAAGGTGTCTGTGGTGTCACCTCTTCTTGAAAGGACACGAATTCTCTCAGATCAGGACCCCACCCTGCAACCTCATTTAACCTTCATTCCTTCCTTACTCCAAATACAGCCACCTGAAGGGTTAGGGCTTCAACACAGGAATTTTGGAGGAACACAAACATTCTGCCCGGCCGGGTGCGGTGGCTCACACCTGTAATCCCAGCACTTTGGGAGGCCGAGGCAGGTGGATCACCTGAGGTCAGGAGTTCGAGACCAACCTGGCCAACATTGTGAAACCCCATCTCTACTAAAAATACAAAAAATTAGCTGGGCGTGGTGGTGGGCACCTGTAATCCCAGCTACGTAGGATGCTGAGGCAGGAGAATTGCTTGAACCTGGGAGGCGGAGGTTGCAGTGAGCTGAGATTGCACCATTGCACTCCAGCCTGGGCAACAAGAGCAAAACTCCATCTCAAAAAAACAAAACATTCCACCCATGAATCTATTTTAGGTCTTGTTTCTGTTCCTTCAGTAAGATTGATTGATTTTTTTTTTTTTTTTTTTTTTTTTTAAGAGACAGGGTCTTGCTCTGTCAGTTAGGCTGATACGCAGTGGTGCAATCATCATTCACTGTAGCCTCCAACTTCTGGGGTCCAGTGATCTTTCCACCATAGCCTCTTAAGTAGGTAGGACTACAGACACACCCAAGCTATAATTGATTTATAATAGGATCCTTTGCCTTTCACAGTAAACATATTCCTAGGTACTAGTGGCAATATAAAATGTCGCTATTTGTAACAGCCAAAAAGTAAGAACAACTCAAATGTCCATCAACTGATAAGTGAATAAACAAAGGACAGCTTATCCATGCATTCTAATATTATTCAGCTATAAGAAGGAATGAAGTAGTGACACCTGCTGCCACATGGGTGCTAAGCGAAGGAAGCCAGTTGTAAAAAGACCGTATGTTGTATGATTCCATTTCAGTGAAATGTCCGGCCCGGATGCAGTGGCTCCTGCCTAAAATCACAGCACTTTGGGAGGCTGAGGCTGGAGGATCGCTTGAAACCAGGAGTTTGAGACCATCTTGGGCAACATAGCAAGGCCCCATCTCTACTAAAAATTAAAAATTATCTAGGTGTGGTGGCATGAGCTTATAGTTCCAGCTACTTGGGAGACCAAGACTGGAGGATTGTATGAGTCCAGGAGTTAGAGGCTACAGTGAGCTGTGATCATGCCATTGCACTCCAGTCTGGGTGACAGAGCGAGACTCTGCCTCAAAACAAAACAAAACAAAACAAAAACAGAAATTGCAGTCCACTAGAAGAAATGGGGAAAATTAAAATAAATAATGTTTAAAAATTAAGTGTCCAGAATAATAGGCAAGTCTATTGAGACAGTAGATCAGTGGTTGCTGGGTCCAGGATGGTGTAGAATGGGAGTGGGAAGGAACTACTAATGGGCATAGGGTTTTTTTGAGGGGGGTGATGAGAGTATTTTAGAGTTAATGTTGATGGTTGCCCAACTTTCTGAATATACTAAAAACCATTGAATTGTACACTTTATGGCATGTGAGTTAAAACCCAATAAAGCTATTAGGAGTGCAGTGGCACCATCTTGGTTCACTGCAACCTCGACCTCCTGGGTTCAAGCAATTATCCTGCCTCAGCCGCCTGAGTAGCTAGGATTATAGGTGCTTGCCACCATGCCCGGCTAATTTCTGTATTTTTAGTAGAAACGGGGTTTCACCATGTTGGCCAGGCTGGTCTTGAACTCCTGACCTCAGGTGATCCACCTGCCTCGGCCTTCCAAAGTGTTGGGATTACGGGCATGAGCCACCATGCTCAGCCAAAGCTGTTATTTTTTTAAGTATGTATTCCTAGATGTGTTATACTTTTATAGCTATTGTGAATGGAATGATTTTTTTCCTAGATAACTTTTAATGAATAGAAACAGTTCCTGCTTTATCTGCAAATCCTAAAACAGTCACTGGCACACAAGTGCTCAATGTTTAAGTGACATTGTTTTCCTGCACCCAAAAGTAGAATGCTACTCCTCATTGGAAACATGTTACTTTAGCTAAGTCCCACTAAAATGACCATAGTCCATCTGTTCTGACACTTGTCACAGATGGTAATAAAATTCATTCACAGCTGCCTTTCTAGGCCTGCAGCATTTGGGAGACAAAACTCTGCTAAACCTTTGGAAGAAAAAAGAGACCAAAGCAGAGGCCATTGGTCCAGAAAAGTGTATGGAAGATGGGGAGGTAGAAGGAGTGTTCCAGGTTGAGAGGGCAGCTCATACTCAACTCCAGCCACTTCACCTCGTGCACATACTGGCTGAGGGTTGCCAGATGTTTGAGAAGCTAGAAGTCCACACCATTGTCAACTATAGGGAACATACAGAAAGCATCTGAACTGGATGTGGATGTGGTCCCAGAGCTCCCAGATCATGATCTGATTGAGAACGTATGTGAACTTCTGTCCTGATTGCTCAGTGCAGACTGATGCGTCTCCTGGCAGGACTCCTCTCTTCACATTGACCTGGAGTTGTCACAAAATCTTTTTCTCTTGCTACTTCCTGAGCATGGCACCTTCTGCCAGAGTGTTCCCTTAACTGCGTGGGCAGGCTCTGCTCCACAGCTCCCCACCCACTCTGCTTGCCCAAGCAGAAGTGAGCCCCTCCTGGGCAGAAAGGGCCCGCAATGAGGGCTGAAATGTTTCAATTCCCTGAATAACCAACCTTTCTCTGTCTCCTTGTCCAGGAAACGGAGGTGGAGCTGTACAACGAATTCCCTGAACCTATCAAACTGGACAAGAATGACCGGGCCAAGGCCTCGGCAGAAAGCTGCAGTTGCTGAGGGGGCAGTGAGAGTTGAGCACAGAGTCCTTCACAAACCAAGAACACACGTAGGCCTTCAACACAATTCCCCTCTCCTCCTCTTCCAAACAAAACATACATTGATCTCTCACATCCAGCTGCCAAAAGAAAACCCCATCAAACATAGTTACACCCCACATGTCACACACACACACACACACACACACACACACACACCCCTGACGTAATCAAACTCCAGCCCCTGCCCGTGATGGCTCTTGGGGTCTGCCTGCCCACCCACATGAGCCCGCGTGTATGGCAGCAGGACAGGCCAGCGGTGGATGTCATTCTGATATGGAGTTGGCATTGGAAGCTTATTCTTTTTGTCCACTGGAGAGAGAGAGAACTGTTTACAGTTAATCTGTGTCTAATTTTTTTTTAACGGTCTTGTGGTCTTTTTACCTCCCCTTTCCCCTCCCTCCTTGAAGGCTACCCCTTGGGAAGGCTGGTGCCCCATGCCCCATTACAGGCTCACACCCAGTCTGATCAGGCTGAGTTTTGTATGTATCTATCTGTTAATGCTTGTTACTTTTAACTAATCAGATCTTTTTACAGTATCCATTTATTATGTAATGCTTCTTAGAAAAGAATCTTATAGTACATGTTAATATATGCAACCAATTAAAATGTATAAATTAGTGTAAGAAATTCTTGGATTATGTGTTTAAGTCCTGTAATGCAGGCATGTAAGATGGAGGGTTGAACCCTGTTTGGATTGCAGAGTGTTACTCAGAATTGGGAAATCCAGCTAGCGGCAGTATTCTGTACAGTAGACACAAGAATTATGTACGCCTTTTATCAAAGACTTAAGAGCCAAAAAGCTTTTCATCTCTCCAGGGGGAAAACTGTCTAGTTCCCTTCTGTGTCTAAATTTTCCAAAAGGTTGATTTGCATAATACAGTGGTATGTGCAATGGATAAATTGCCGTTATTTCAAAAATTAAAATTCTCATTTTCTTTCTTTTTTTCCCCCCTGCTCCACACTTCAAAACTCCCCTGTTAGATCAACATCCTACTATGAGAGCGAAAGGAAAACCCTCACAGATCTGTCCTAGTGATTTTTACCTTTGTTCTAGAAGGCGCTCCTTTCAGGGTTGTGGTATCCTTAGGTTAGCGGAGCTTTTTCTCCTTTTCCCCACCCATCTCCCCGATATTGCCCATTATTAATTAACCTGTTTCTTTGGTTGGAACCCTGGCAGTTCTGCTCCCTTCCTAGGATCTGCCCCCGCATTGTAGCTTGCTTAATGGAGCACTTCTCCTTTTTCCAAAGGTCTACATTCTAGGGTGTGGGCTGAGTTCTTCTGTAAAGAGATGAACGCAATGCCAATAAAATTGAACAAGAACAATGATCATCTGCCTTTGCCATGTCTTTTTTTCCTTCTTTGAGAGCCTTGACTCAGTAGAGACCACATGAGTTAACCATAGCCAATGCCTTATCCAGCAAGGAGCCCTCCATAAATGGGCATGTGTGGTGCTTCGAGGCAGAAAGGCCCTCTCATATCTGGTCCTGTAGTGCCTGTCCCTAGTTGTTTTTTTGTTGTTGTTGTTGTTTGAGGGGAGAGGGGTGGGTAGTTTAATCGCAGTGTTGGGGGTTGAGGACCATGGATGGAGAAAGCATTGTCCCTTTAGAAGATCAACCACAAACTGCTGGGGACCTCTGAGCCATGCATATCCTGTAGGTGTAACTGTAACCTATTCGTGTGTTATGTGTTTTATTTTTAGTTGACCTAGTTGCTAACACTTAGATGTATAATTCTGCATTTGTCACAGGAGAGGAAGATTTGGCAGCAGAGACCCTGTATTCCAACATATGTAAACCCCTACCTGGAATGGAATAGATCCCACTTAGAAGCAATTTTATTAAAATAGTAGTAGTTCAGGCCGTGGGTCACTTTAGGTTTTGCAGAAGTACCTCATTGACTTAGATCTTGAATTCTACTTTGCTACACTTTTTTACATTTCTACTTCTCAGGCTCCTCAGCTGGTTTATTTCCTCATGGCTCCTCTTGGCATGTACTTTATGTGTTAAAAATAGCATAGTTTAGAAGCTCAGATGCTGCACAATGTGAGATTATCCACAGTGTGATTTCACCCTGGCTGGTGGCGCATGGCTTAAATCTTCTCTGGTCCTGTATTTTGTTTGGGCCTCATCAGGTGTTTGTACTCTAGAGGGCCCCAGCTTGGGGCCCAGTGACTGGGCCACAGTGTGTGGACTCTTGTGTGATGCTCACCTCTGCAAATCAGGCATCTGTTCCTCTGATTGTGTTACACTGGTCTTGACCTTGTATGTGACATTAAAATGGACCTTGACTTCTGATCTGCTTGACCTTTATCCTAAACTGATGATCATCCTGACATTACTTAGCTTAAGATGAATGTAATCTTTAATTGACTCTGATTTCAACCATTGTCCTTACCATAGCTTACCTTAATTTTAACGGCTTTGGCTTTGAACTGACTGACTTTACCCTAAACATGATCACTGTTGAATAACCTTGACTCTGACCCACCTCCTGACCCTAATCATCACCTGACTTTGAAGCTAATATGGAACCCTACTATGACAATAGGTCTTACTCTCTGACCTGGGACTAATTAGTCTCATGTCCCATCAGCCTGATGGCTGAGGTTGGTGTCATATTACAACCCTAAATTGTATAATGTTTATCTAAGGGATTCAGCTTAACTACAGTAGGAAGCCCTGGCTGAGACTGAGCTCTGCATCAACACAGTGCCTTTTTCTATATTCCTATGTAGATTCAGCATAAGCATGTGTTTTCTCTCAAAAGAAGGGAACTTGTCATTTTGCTGCAATAAGCAGTAAGGATATACTTCTGAGAAGAATATCTGGGACTGAGTTTGTCTGCAGTACTATGGATTGTTTGAGTTCATTTGTATTTGCCTCGAGGTGAGAATGAGAGATGAGTGTGTTGCTGTGTTTACATCCATCTCAGTTTGCTCTAACAAGTAATCAGAAGTTACTTTTGGCCAGGCACACTGGCTCACACCTGTAATTCCAGCACTTTGGGAGGTCGAGGTGGGTGGATTACCTGAGGCCAGGGGCTTGAGAGCAGCCTGGGAAACATGGCAAAACCTCATCTCTAATAAAAATACAAAATTTAGCTGGGCATGGTGGTAGGCGCCTGTAGTTGCAGCTACTTGGGAGGCTGAGGCAGGAGAATTGCTTGAACCCGGAAGGCAGAGGTTGCAGTGAGCTAAGATTGTGCCACTACACTCCAGCCTGGGCAACAGAGTGAGACTCCATCTCAAAAAAAAAAAAAGTTTTGGAAAGGACATCTGGGAATGAGTTTGTTGTACTAATATGTACTTGTTTCAGTAGTACTCCTTCCTCAGATCCCAGCTTATTCTGTCTCCATGTGAGTGTGTGTTGCTGTGCCGACTTTTATCTCCCCCAAGAAGCTATGAGGATTTGGTTTTAAGAAGAATGCCTGAGTTTGTTGTACTAACAGGAATTCTCATCCAAACTCCTACTGGGGTTCATTCTGATTCCACTCATCTTTTAGTAAGAATATGCCTTTGAGGTTAATGTGTATTGCATTGTTTACATTCATGTCCGTTAACATTGACCAGCAATAAGATTTCACCTTAGAGATCTGAGACTAAGCTTTTTTGCACTGAAAATGATGCCTTCCAATAGCACGAAGTAGGTGCATCTTGGTTCACTCTACCTTGCAGTAAGAACGTGCCCTAGAGAGGAATGTATGTGTCCTGCTTACCTTCCTCTCAGTTGTCAGTCGCATGCAATTAGGAGTTACATGAATCAAATGATTGAGACTGGATGTACTTGTACTAATATCGATTCTTTTCATTAGCACATTAGACTCATTCTAATTGATTTACACTTATGATCATCCTGACTTTGATCCCCTTGAGGTGACCTTGGATTAACTTTGAAACTGACCCACATGTCCTGACCTTGACTTTTTTTTTTTTTTTTTAAACGGAGTCTCACTCTGTCACCCAGGCTGGAATGCAGTAGTGTGAGTGATCTCAGCTCACCACAACCTCCGCCTCCTGGGTTCAAGCGATTATCCTGCCTCAGCCTCCTGGGTAGCCGGGATTACAGGTGTGCACCACCACACCTAGCTACATTTTGTATTTTTTAGTAGAGAGGGTTTCACCATGTTAGCTGGGCTGGTCTCAAACTCGCGACCTCAAGTGATTCGCCCACTTTGGCCTCCCAAAGTGCTGAGATTACAGGTGTGTTGATCCTGATCTTGAATCTCATACACAATCATCCTGACCTTAAGCTGAAATAAGCATGAACTTGACCTTGAATTTGAATCTAGCCCTAATTCTGACCCTTGTCCTCATCCTAACCATCACCCTGACCATGTTTTGCCCTCATTTTAAACTTGCCCTTGAAACTGACCTTGATTGATTTTGAATCCAGTACGCGCTGATGCTTTTCATAGCCCTGAATCTGAATCTGAAGCCAACCCTGAACATTGTCCTGGCCATAAGTTTATACTTCCCCTAAGTTTATACCTGAATCTAGCTGACTTTAACCATTCTTAAGTTAACCTTAGTCATCCTGCCATTGATGATAGTCTGCCTTTGAACTGCTCTGACCTTCAAATGACCTTGATCCTCTTGGCTCTAATCCTTAGCACTGGTATGACCTTGGACCCAACCTTGTCCTGGTGCTGACTAGCATTCTGACCATATCACACCGTAAGTTTCAACTTTACCTTGAGCTTGAGCCATTTGGACCTTGACATGACTTTGAGGCTGACTCTGATTATCACCTTGAACATCATTCTAGCCATGTCTTTGTTTTGTTTTGTTTTGTTTTGTTCTGTTTTTTGAGACAGAGTCTCGTTCTGTCGCCCAGGCTGGAGTGCAGTGGTGCGATCTCCGCTCACTGCAAGCTCCGCCGCCTCCCGGGTTAACGCTATTCACCTGCTTCAGCCTCTCGAAGAAGCTGGGACTACAGGCCCCCGCCACCACGCCCGGCTAATTTTTTTGTATTTTCAGTAGAGATGGGGTTTCACCATGTTCGCCAGGATGGTCTCAATCTCCTGACCTCATGATCCACCTGCCTCGGCCTCCCAAAGTGCTGGGATTACAGGGGTGAGCCACCGCGCCTGGCCTTATTTTGTTTTCTTTACTTAACTAAAACCTCTCCAGGTGATTCTAACGCGTAGCTGGAGTTGAACTGGTGTAAAAATATTTCCTTAAATATTTTATGAACCACAAATGTGTAAGGTCCACAGCTGGTTCCTAAGAGACAGGAAAAAGTTTGGCCTTAAAAAAAATTAAAGATCTCAGCCAGGCATGGTGGCTCATGCCTGTAATCCCAGCACTTTGGGAGGCCAAGGCAGGTGCATCATTTGGGGTCAGGAGATTGAGACCATCCTGGCTAACATGGAGAAATCCCATCTCTACTAAAAATACAAATAATTAGCCAAGCATGGTGGCAGGCGCTTGTAGTCCCAGCTACTCAGGAGGCTGAGGCAGGAGAATGGCATGAACCCAGGAGGCGGAGCTTGCAGTGAGCAGAGATAGTGCCACTCCAGCCTGGACGACAGAGTGAAACTCCATCTCAAAAAAAAAAAAAAATTAAAGATCTCAAATATATGCTCTAGCCTTCCCCACCACTGCTGCCACTGAATTGCAACACTGCACAGATTTTGTTTGACCCACTTTCCCTACATACATCCAACCAATATTTGTAAATGGGAAGATAGCACACAAAATCCAACTCTAGTTTGTTTTTTAAAAAATTGGAAGAAAGTGCAACACTTCGATCACACTCCCGAATTTCTCATAGTGACCACTAATTGAGGACCCACCTTATTTAAAACTTGCTTGCCTGGCTCCCATGCTAAGAAACCAACTTGTGTCTGAGGGCGGCCTGGCAGCTTCCAAGTGGAATGCGCGTGCTCCGAGAGACCGGGCTTTGGGATGTGGTGCGCTGAGTGCTGCTGCTCTGCCAAGTGAGCTCAGCCTGGTCCACAGTGACTACCGAGTTTCCATGTCCTGAGTTTCCTGGCTAGGTAGAAGATACTGGAAGTCTGGAGGAGAACCCAAAACTGCCAGCATGGCACATCCTGTCCCCACCTCTTTCCTTTAAGGAGAGGAACCATGTGCCTTCATAATGCCCTTCCTCACAGTACCCCTTCCCTTTGCCAGAAGTCCTGCCTCCATTCACATTGCAGGGCTAAAGATGCCCCTTTTTGCTTATTTTTGTCGTTTCATGGAAGGGAGCCAGAACTGGAATTTTGTTAGTTTTTTGGGTTCTAATCGTAGTCCGTGGGTATATTATTACTCCCTATTTTATGCCAGGAAAGAGAAAGGGTAAAGGCTATAAAAAATCCCTAGCTTAG